GGAGGTGATGTGAAGAGGAGATGAAAACGTGTGGGCAGACTTGGAGCCAGGTGAAGACTCTAGCAGAGAATCGAACGCAATGGAGACGCACGGCTGAAGCCCTATGTTCCTCTAGGAATTAAAGGATACAATAATAATAATAATAGGAGCTTCAGATGGGATGCAATGGCCTAAGAATTTCAAATTCTCCTAATTCACAATTCTAGCACGACCGCCAACCAATGTCATCAGAGAGTATTTGTCTTTACATCAGAATTGGTTCAGCATATGTGTGCGTATATGTTTAGCCAGAAAAATTATAGACCTCACCTGGTACAACTTGAGACTTTTATTTTGGAAGCCACTGGTTCGAGTCCTAGATTCTCATTTACCACACAATTCACACACTCATTCATGAATAACACTCTTCCTCCCTTAGACTATGTCAGCTAGCTCCATCATCAATACTGAATTTCATGAGATTTCAGCCTTTCCTCAAGGGTTTTACGTAAAACTAAGGTATGAAGGAAGGTGGCGAGTGGCGAGGGTGAAATGGCAGACGATCGATTGATTTTTATGACTAGGTTATACAATTTTGTATTCTAAGAATACATGAAACGTAAATGTACACCGAGGTGAGTATTTCGAAAGGAACACAAAATATGCATTATTCTCAGGCAAAAATGAATACAGGTTTTTTTGAAAAAATAAAATATGAACGCAAGGTAATCAATCATATATTAGAAATTGAATAAAATTGAGGCGTTAAATGACATAAGTAGCGTTGACAAGTATTGAATTGAATTATGCGCCAAAACTTTTGTTTTAACTTAATTCTAAACACACTTATTTGATGACTCATTCATAAAGCATAAATTTAAATATATACTTGAAGAATCAATAAAATTTAAAAAATTGGCTAGATTGACATGAATAATGTGATGATATATGTCAAACAAAAGGTTAGTCATCAAAGGAGATATACATTTCAGAATATGAGAGAATAATTGGAGAAGCCTTTTGTTCGCTTAATTGTAAGATTCGGCGAAGGATAAATTTTCTAGAGTTGGTTTGTAAGGATTAGATTTGTTTTTACGAGTTTGACAACGGATTGATATCAGTTAGAGAACCATTGAAAACCAGTATTGGAGTACTGGACAGCTAACTGTTTCATCCCACTGGTTTGGGACTCATCGGCAGTACGCATCCACCTCCAGGGTTCGAACCCAGGATGTTCGCTAGTGACTTGCTACAGGACGGAGTCTCCTGGAGTTCCAGTGAGAAGTCTTGACCAGTGAGGTCCATCTAGTCAAGTGTGAGGATGGATGTCCTACCGATCACATTCCATTATGGGTAAATTTTATTTTGATAGAGTCTCACAGTGTTATACAGTATAGTGTATAACACTGTGAGACTCTATCAAAATAAAATTTACCCATAATGGAATTACACTCTACCACAGTGCCCAAGTTTTATTCTTATACCGATCACATTGGTTGGTGGTTGCGCTGAATGCACCATGAATTGATAGAAGTTAGAATTCATGGGTTGGCCATTGAATCGGGTCCCAGTGGCTGAATGGTAAACGAGCTTGCCTTGTAACCGTAAGTTCCTCGTTTCAAACCCTGGAGGTGGGTGCGTGCTGCTGATAAGTCCCAAACCAGTGGGATGAAACAGTTAGCTGTCCAGTACTCCAATACTGGTTTTCAATGGTTCGCTAACTGATATCAATCCGTGATCAACTTGTAAGAGGGATAAACTGATTGGTTCAAGAATTGTTTTTATCATAAATCAAATCAGAGAAATGTGAACCTGAAATCTAATGAGAAATCGAGCCCAAGACTTTTGCATTTTAAAATAAGCCTAAGGACATGAGCTAGTGGATTTCAGAAGTTAGATACTTAACGGTCTCTGTCAATGCACAAAAAAAACATTAAAAATACAAAAAATACAAATAACAATCTTATTTCCCGCTGGAATCGAAGAGGCGAAATGGCACTGCGGGCTGGTGAAACTCCGCCTTCGGGAAGCCAGCCAGTCTATGGTTCTTCTCTCAATGGAAGCAAGATTAAGAATGGAAATGTGGAATGTACGTACAATGTACGAGGTTGGCTGAGAGGGCTGTCCAGATAGCCAAAGAAATGAGAAGATATGGTACAGAAGTGCTGGGAATCTGCGAGAGCAGATGGAATGGATGTGGATTATCAAAATTTTCAACCGAAGAGACAATCATCTACTCCGGTTACCCAGACGAAAACCACAAGTACACTCAGGAAGTAGCTATGATGATTTCACTAACAGCAGCCTGTGCGTCGGTGGCACAGTGGTTAGGACTCTCGCCGACCATGTACATGGTCCGGGGTTCGATCCCCTGCCGGCGCACACCCGATATCTATGGTCGGCCTGAATTTGGGCTACAGATATCCATGCTGAAAATTCCACACTTGTACTGAAAATAAGGTGTGGAATCAAGCTGTAAATCAAAATAAAAAAATAAAATAAATAAAAGCTATCACGCAGTGGCAGCCAATCTCCTTTATGATTATGACAGTAAGATTCGACTCAAAAGGACGAAAGGTTGTACCCAGTTGTTTCATTTTTACTATAAGTCAAAATCTTGACTTGTATTTTCAGCCGTAAAACTTACCAGCTAAAATCTATGTCCAAATAAGATAAGTTTGATGGCAGATAGTCGGAGGTAGTCGGCAGCACGCCGTGGATCTAGACTTACAACTTGTTGACATTCACCAGCAACGCATATGTCCAGTCTGGAAGGAATTAATCTTCCCTCTGAGATTCTCACCCGTTTCAGAGACGTTACCGCTGAGTTATTCGGGCTCACAGTTAACCTCAGGGATCTTGCCGACTGTCTTCAACAACCTGACATCACTTCAAAATACCCTGCTATGGTAAGTCAATTAGTTTGATGACCATAATGATCAAACTTGTTGATAGAATTCTGTCAGCATCAACGCCATATTGACTAAGGTAAGACAATTGTGTCTGAAGAAGTGAGGTGAAAGTAACCTTCACATTCTGAATATGATGGAGATTTGATCTCAGTAATACGAATAGTAGGACAGGCTTTCATGACAATAAATATTTTTAAATCATGGAAAATTCCCATTGTAACATATAGAAAATCAAAACAAATGATTCAGCGAAGAGACTCTTTTCAACGAATTTATCATCAAGCTGTACAATCGTATATATATGGTTTTTTTAAGAAGTTATATCCGGTGAGGGAGTTGAAACACAGGTGTGAATGCATGAAATAATAATAATATGAAGTGCAATTAAAACTAAAATGTTTGTGATTATAATCGTAGTTAAAGGTCAAGTGGCAAAGCAAATTAATGTCATACATGGAATAATTCATAGGATGGATAGAACTTGAAAAAGGTGTGCAATTATAAGATTAGTAGACAAATCGAATAAAATAAAAACGTTACGTAATATTGTATGAAATTTAATAGCATAGAATTTATTAATGCATAAAGGAATTGATTTAGAATGACAAGTGGAACAAGTGAAATAATACCGAGGACAATTAAAAGTGAGAGTAGCAATAGTAACGATTTATGTAATAAGGAAGAGTATACAAATTGAATAGACAAAAATGGAAAAATGGAGAGTTGGTAGAGCTAAAATATGATTGGGGATTACCCTACTTTAGCATAGAGGGATGAAGACCATGAAAGTTGGAGGGATTGAACGAACTTTTTCTGTACACAGAGATCTGGCTTTTCTGTTTCGATAGACAAAGCTTCAGCAATACAGATGAGTCGGGTACGTAGGGATTTGGGTAGATTACTCTTTGCCTTGTAGATGACTTTGAAGGCGGAGGCTATAGAGATAGGGTGATCATTATCGACCAGATGTTCAATGATCGCGCTTCTTATTGCTCCACTACCACCTTTTCGTAACCATGCAGGATAGTGTTCTTGCACCCTCTTGGACAAAACTCGTGTCGAACGACCGATATACCTAGCTCCACACGAGCAGGTGAATTGATAAACACACATAGAGTTGGTCAACAGCGGGATCTTGTTCTTCAGGTTATTGAACAATAATGGTCGACTAGAAAAGGCTATTCTCAGGGATGCAGCAGGGAATGTTCTTTTCAGGGATTGTGATATCCTCCGTTTCATGATATCGGAAGCTAAGTCCCCTTTGAATTCCAAGCTCATGTAAAGTATCTTCTTGGGTACGGTTGATAACTCACGTTTTTTAGGATTTGAATGAATATTCTTATCTATAAAAAGTGGTGGAAATCCATTTTCTATTAGGATTTTCCTCAAGATGTATAACTCATCTTCCACAGTATCAGTGCTATATATGCGCCGAATACGAGTGGCAAGCGACCGGATCAGGTTTCGTTTTCGACCAATGGGTACCCAGCTGTAGAAATTTGTCAGTTGACCATTCCATGACAGCTTGCGATAAATCGATCTTTTCAGGGTTCCATATATATACGATTGTACAGCTTGATGATAAATTCGTTGAAAAGAGTCTCTTCGCTGAATCATTTGTTTTGATTTTCTACAATAAATATTCCCTGCAATCAATTATAACCTTAAACATCGGGCTTGAGAATTAATATGATGGATGGCTACAAGCAGTGGAATCCAGGATGTGCATTTCGTCCTATTTGGGACTCGTCATCAAAATGTGATAGTGTTCTCACTGAAACTCGAACCCACTACTCATAGTTTCAAATGCCAAAGAGCCGACATGTCAATCTGCGGCCGAACACTTCGGTTCAATCAATCAATAGGAAAACCTAAACCAAAATAAATAGTTCGGCCTCAGAGTTTCAAATCTTCTTTTTAAATTGATACTATATATATACACTGACCAAGATCTCAACAACTACATAAGGAAAGAGGTTTGATCAGAATCCGAGTGACTTTACGGTGAATAGCAAAAGGTAAAAAAACTGCTCAAACATGTGAATATTACACCTGAAAAGAAAATCCATTTTGAATGAATGAACGGGAATAGTGATGACAAAAACTCACCATACTTGACTCTTGAAGACTCAGTGCATAAACTAAAAAGCTTGTATAGACTATCGGGGAGGTAATGTAGACTTCATCATTATTTGATGAATCATTTTCGAGATCTGTCGGCAATGAACTGGCCATAGGTTTATTATTTGCTGTCGAATTAGTTATGTTGGCGGAAATATCCTTCGATAAATTTATCTCCGAATTAGATTCTCCATTCATACAACGAATTATAACAATCTTCTCTTGTCCACGTTGCTTTGTAGGCGAAGATGAACTTTCTTTATACGATCCATCGATCAGAGAGGTTATATTGCGTACATGATCTAGTTGGACAAAACCCTGACAAACATTCATACAAAAAGAGAATGAAAAGAAGAGCATGGATAAATAAATCTGATCGATTAGAAGTTAGAAGAAGGAATTTAGTACTAGAACGTACAAAGTAATTATTATTGTTCCCTTGGGTTCCTAGTGGAACATAGGGCTTCAACTGCACGTCTCCATTTGCTTCTGTCTTCTGCTGTACTTTTCACCTGCATGCATGTTAGTCCATACTGTTCCAACTCTTCTTCACACAATCTCCTTCATGTCACCCTTAGACGGCCCACTCGCCACTTCCCTTTCGGGTTCCATTCGAGCGATGGCCTGACACGCGATGTCACACAACGGCCTCCTCAGCGAGTGTGCAATCCATCTCCACTCTCTCCTGCATATTTGTTGAGCGATTGGTTCTTGTTTTGCTTGTTCCCATAGTTTCTTGTTGGCGATTCTTTCCGGCCATCTGATCTTCAGTATAGAGCGAAAACAGTTGTTGATAAAGAACTGCAAAGACTGTTGAAAATATCCTTGGTGATCCGCCAAGTTTCTGATCCATCCGTACAGAAGAAGAACTGACTTGACGTTTGTATTGAAAATCCGAATCATTTTGTTGTTGATGCTGAGTGACAGCGGAAGATTTCCAGATTGGTTTCAGGTTGATGAATGTGTTTCTCGCCTTCCCGATTCTCGATTTGACATCGTCGTCCGTTCCTCCTGTAGTTGAGACAATGCTCCCTACCTAGATAAGTGAATGAAGTAACCTCTTTCAAATCCCTTCCGTTGATGGGGATTGGCGCTGGATGTTGCTGCTGTTGTTGCTGTTGTTGGTTGGTTATTTTCATAACCCCTGTCTTGTCTATGTTCACCTGGAGTCCTGTCTTTGCTGCTTCTTCGACCAGTTTGTCGGTTTTTGCTTGTAAGTCTTCGATTTTGTGTGACACCAAACATAAATCATCCACGCGCGAAATCCAGGTCTTCTAGGTTCTTCACGTCGGTCCCGGATATCCCTGTCCTCTTGTTTCCCACTGTCTGACGCATAATCCAGTCCACCACAATTAGGAATATCATTGGTGATAATAAGCACCCTTGTCTGACTCCTGTGTTTACTCCAAAAGCCTCGTTGAGTTTTCCGTTGTGGATCACTTACAAAGTAATCAGTGTAACATTTAAACTTTTTCTACTCCCTAACGTCACTAGTTGGGTCAACTCCATGGTACCAGAAGCCGATGGGTCTCCTGTGTTCAAGAGAACTCGCTAAACTTTACTCTGCCAGCTGTCAGCTAGAATTGTAAGGATCCCTGAAAACCACCCCTGAAAAATTAATCGAATACCCCTTTAGTAACTAACTACGGGATGGATATCTTTGGGTTCTTTTAAGAAGTCGTGACTGATGAGGCCCATCAAATCGGATGTGAGGACGACCAGACAATTATCGACTGCACTGGTTGGCAGTGTCGCTATGCAAAGATTTCGATTCGGCAGAAGTTAGAATTCGCAAGCTATTGGATTTCATCTCAGTGACTGAATGATCGAATACTTCAACTCAAAAACCTGAAGATTTTGATTTACACTCCTCTAGGGTTCATGAATGCGTACTGCTGAAGAGCCTCAAACTAGGACGTGATCTAACAAGGATACCCAACCAATCTAATCCATCCTTGCCTCCCTTCATTCTTTAAACTAAGCGAGCATCAATCATAACTTAAAGTACACCAAATATTCTATAAAAATGTTACATAATGCAACAATTTATTTAAGTGTTGGGTTGCAAGGATTTGATTGGCTACAGGATTTCATCATGAGCTGACATCGGTTAGAGAACCATTAAAAAACCACCTGGGATTACTGGACAGTTGTTTGGTACTAGTTTTGGGACTCTCTGACAGTAGGAGCCCATTGGAGTTCAAACGCAAACTAAATGGTCTACGAGCTCACCTTGTAACTGGAAGGTCCTGGGTTTGAACCCCAGTGTGTGCGTACTTATGAAGAAGAGTCCCAAACTAGGACGAAACAAGTGTCCAGTACTTCCGGATTTCCAAATGTTGTCTAACCGATGTCAGCTTATGATGGAATCCTGTAAACAACAATCTGTTATTTTGTCTGCAACTGGTCACGCAATTGGCGGACAGTATTGTAAACGCGGTGCTGTTAGATTTATATATAATTTTACTTGTGTATACATAGAGGTAATTCGACTGCAATTGTTATATGTGAACTTATAACGATTGTATGCAGATATCTAACAGTCCAATCATGACTGCTCTGTGAGACAATAGGTGAAAAATACACTAAAATATAAGTCACCTGAAAAATTCACCAGGCGATGGCTAGTCATCATGCGTGACACATGTCCTAACCATCTCAATCGATGAAACTTGACAACCTCCTCTATATGTTTTCGCTCCTTAACTAGTAGTATCTGCCTAATCTCAATATTACTCATCCTATTATACCACGAGAGTTAGAACGCAGACACCTATGATTAAAGACAGGTAGCCGGTCTTCTCGTATCTTCCACTTTCAATGTTCATTTCTCACAGTCATAAGGGGGGATGGAGCAACTGCTCTGTGCAGTACACACGCCTTTTGATCAACAACCAGCCAGATATCACGACTAGCCCAAAGAATTAATCCATGACGTCTCTGACAATTGGTTTGAGCCGCATAGATGGAGGTACAAACCGCCTTGTTGACATCCTCAAAATGCTAAGCGCCAATAGTTGGAGACTATTAGTGAAATGACTCAAAATCGCTCTCAGTGGCTGTGTGCCCCTCTAGAACCATTAGACTCTCATTATTCTTCATGTCATCATTCTTTTATTGAACACCTTCCACTGATTATAGTTTCCAAGCATTTCCTTCGCCCGTTTTCTACCGCTATCTGGACTATTATGAGGTGTAGTAAGTCGAAAAGCTACGATTTTGTGCAACATTCTACATGAAACATTTAGTTAATTCTAGTTCAGCTGAACCTGAAGTGTATGAAGTGTAAAACAAACTCTACGGTGTTTGTAGGAGTAAACATTAAGTTTTATTCGCAGTATCTAAGTCGTGGTGGTACAGCGGTAGAATGCTCGCTAACCATGCTTCATGTGGTTCGAGGTTCGATGCCCGACCACCGACACACTCCTTTGCCTCGCTAAACCAGTAGTAAGACTGGTAAAGAGGGAAGGTTGGTCATGGGGCTAACAACCCCATCCCGTAACCGGAACTTCAAGCCTCTAGCTTGAAACCCTATGATTTTCCACTGGGAATGTAAAGCAACACATGACTATATATTCGCAGCATAAAGCCAAATAAATACCTGTTGAAAAACCAAGTTCCTTCAGATTTTATACTTATTGAAAGTCGTGTCTCATACACTGGACTTAATCATTTCCATAATTATTACTCATAAAATAGTATTTAAAACAAGCACTCAACACATTTTTGGATTTAATTCCATTTAGTGTCGATGTAAAATAAAATAACTTACAAAACATCCAACTGTTAAGCAACAAAAAGCTTCAGTCAAAGGGAATTGAATTTCTCGTCTGCCATGGAATTGCTTCAATAAATCTATGAACACGAAGAAGAGAAGAAGAGGAGAGAGGAGGAGACGTTTATGCTGAGGATAACGATGATGAGAAATACGATCAGTCAGCACAAATACACACTTAAATCTTTTCATTAGGTAAATAATAAAATATGATACTGAAAGTAAATATCAAGGAAAAATCGATTAATTTAAATGGTTTGAAAAAAATCTTTAACATGTGTATATAAGTTTTTTTATTATTCTTGTGCAATTTCAAGCCTAAGATGTTGCGTTTCAGGGATGTGGTTGATCCTAAATTAGATTAGATGAATGGACATTAGTTGAAGGTAACAGTGAAAAGCAGGGAGTACTGGAAAACCGTTTCTTTTCAATTCGGAGCATCTATCACCTATTTGCGTCGATGGCAAAGCGGTAGAACGTTCGCCAACCACGCCTCAAGTGGTTCGAGGTTCGATCCCCGGCCGATGCACTCCTTTACCTCCATAGGTCGATAATAAGAACGGTAAAGAGGGAAGGCTGGGAATGAGGCTATCAACTCCGTCCCGTAAAAGAAACATCCCTGCTAATGAAATTTCGAAGCTGTAGATTGAAGCCATATATTCCACTGGGAACTTAAAGGAATAGAAAAACCCATCACCCCCCTTGGAAGGCAGTAATATACTGAACTGATAAGAAGACACTGGAAGATCTGAATTTCGTAGATGATTTATGTCTACTGCCACAGGAACTCGAAGATCTACAGGTGAAAAGCAGCTGGTTGGGTGAAGAAACTGACAATGAAGACAGGACTCCAAGTGAACACAGATAAGACGTCGGTAATGAAAAAAACCAATCAACTAACAGCAATAACCGGCACCTATCACTTATGTAGGAAGCAACGTTTTAACTACAGGTGACATACGGATGAAAGCTTCACAACCGGAATCAGAAGAACAAGGCAGATGACATTCATCACCCTAAAATCAGTTTGGCAATTTTCTCCACCCCAGCATAAGGAACAAGGTTCAGATTTTTAACGCAAATGTTAAGTCATTGAACTGCTCAATATGGGTCAGAAACATGATCCGCGTGTCACGAGAAGCATTTCCAACAGGCTACTGCGGACTTTGATCAACAGCTGGCTTCAATGCATATCGAAGACTAGACGGCGAGAATGAATTAGCAACAAGAAACTCTGTGAAAAAAACCAACCAAGAATCGATTACTAAGCAGATTTTCATAAGGGAATGGAGGTGTATGGGATACACAGTGAAGAGACCATCGAATAACATCGCGCACCAGACCATCGCTCGAGTGGAATCCGAATGCGAAACGACGAGTGGGTCGTCCGGAGGTGACATGGAAGAAATCGCGTGAGGAGGTGATGAGAGATTATGGGCAATTTCGGAACCAGTTAAAGATGACGGCAGAGAATAAGACAAAGTGGAGATGCGTTGTTGAAGCCTTACATTCCACACGGAATCCAAAGGAACAATAGTAATAGTTAATAACCTCACTGAGGGTGAAACCCAGGACCTTCAGGTAACGAGGCGAGATGGTTTACCATTCACTTCTTGTGACAGAGTCAGGTGACTAATGAATTCTAACTTCTAATGATTCGCAACATACACCGACACCGCCAACAAATTTTCTGGCGTTAGTTTGCAGGGATTCGATTTGCTTGAAGTTAGATCACGAATCGGCATCAGTTAGAGAACCATTGAACACTAACTCAATGAACTCAACAGCTGTTTCACCCCAGTATAAACTCTTTAACACTACGAACAAATCATGCCCCTGAAACTCAAAGCCAGGACCTTCAGATTATGAGGCAGTGTCGTTGAATGTTTAGCCATTAGAACAGAGTTCAATGGCTGATAAATCCAAACTTCTGTGGTAATTTATATGTAGCACCACTGCCAGCCAGTGTCATCCGTGAGTATTCGTCCTCAGTTACATATAGTGGACCCTACTGATCACAAGTTCTCACTAGAACTCTGTGATATCCATCCCGTAGTTGAATATTGGTGAGAAATAGATTAATTTCCCAGTGTTGGTTTGCAGAGATATGATTGACTTTAAGTACAGTCAGAAACTGGCATCACTGAGAGAATCACTTAAACCCAAAGAATTCTCGACAGCTTTTCCTTCTTATTTTGACAATCTTCAACAGTACACTCCAGTGGATTCCATCCTACTGACGAAATGATAATGTGTTTGCTTTAGCTTTGATCTTTGGGTGGGAGCAGAGGGGTCATAGGTGCACAGTGTTGAAGAGTTCCAAACTAAGATGAAACCACTGTCCAGTACTTCCGAGGATTTCACTGATTCACTAACTGATATCGCTTCGTGATCTGTTATGACATCTCTGTGATAGTGAATGCAAGATATTCAGAGATGATGTCATTAAAATTCAGGAATAAGTCAGAAAAGTCATGAATCAAAGAACAATGCTTATGTCTATGTATACAAGCATCATAATGCATACACATCACAGATGTACTTAACACGTTTCAGTTGACCTTAACTTTGATTTATAACTCCGCATTACAGTTCTAGTAAGTTCTATGAGTGTACATGCGTAAAGTTGATCACGTTCGTCATTGAATACTCTACTCCTATAGGACATTCATAAATTCTTTTGTGATGTAGCCACGAAGACTTCACTCAAACGGATTTTATTCCACTTAATATGAAACATGAAGTGTATACCGTTTGTTCAGACAAACTTCTACGGACAGTCACGTGTCAGTTAGTGACGTATTACCTCTTGTCTATTAAATTTAACACAGACCGGATGAATTGAATCTTATTATAATTATTATGAAAATTGTTGGGCTTCAGTGCCACAACTCCATCTCACTCAGTTGTCGGCTTTACAACCGCCTACAAACTTTTATTTCATCTTCTTCAGATGACCTCCTGTGTCACCTTCAGTCCCCCCCCAGCCCAGCCCACTGCCTTCCACTCCTTCCCATCCCGAGAATCTGGAATGTGATGTCATTTGGAGGTCTCCTCAGAGTATACCTTAATCTATCTCCATTTCCTTCTGCAGACTTGTTAAGCAATAAGTTGTCGGCTGGTTCTCTGACAGAGTTCCTCGTTGCTCGTTTAACCTTGTCTTCAGTATTAACTAAAGGCAGGTATTGATGAAAGTCTAAAGCTTACTGAAAAGGCCTTTTGTGAATCATCTGAACGGATATCTTATAGTACAAATAAGCAATATAATGATGACCCCATCTGGTTCCTTCCCTCGCGTTCTAAGGGGAACATAAGGCTTTAGGCCTCAAACTCTGAGGTTTCAGTAGAGGTTGTTTTCTTTTTACAGCGTTGAGTTACTAGCTAGTATATGCGTACCGAACCATCGCCTTTCTTGATAAATAAAGTAAGAGAGTTAAGGGGTTTTCAGATTAAAACATGGACGGCACCAAACCGTAAAGTCATCCGATGTTCTCTTAACTAATGCTGGAGACTTTTTCGGGAGGTCAAGAACCAATGCTAAAGCCTCTTGGTGACTCATCTCAAATCATTCATCTTCTTGATTTTGGAAATATTTACGAGTCTTCACACAATAATCCTCCCCTCATACATCTCCAATCTGATGATTTTTCAAGCTATTCTAGTTCAACTGGATTTTTCGGTGGTCGAACAGATGCTCTACGGTGTTTATTTCTTCAAATTTTGATTTCTCGTGATGTCTGTCCGATGTATATCACATCACATTTCACACATTTTATTTTACTGACACAATTAGATAGAGAATCCTAAGGGATTTGACCTTTTACATGGACAAGGTTGCTTCTCAGTGCGTCTGATGTTTTGAAGAAAAAACTCTGACGTCGAGCTTATTGAGTACTTTTCTGATATCGTCTGATGTCTCTGCTCTATAATGGAATGACAACTGTTGAGGTCCATGTTTTAGGGATACGTTTTCGACCGACCATACTTAATGTCAGTGTTGATTTTGTTATCTTTACCAATTGGTCAATTTGACATCGCAAAAATGACCCCATGCTGAGGAAAGATGATTAAGTTGTTATACATAAGCTGAGGAGATTTTGTAAATTCAGGTTTAATAATACTTTGATAAAGCTATTATTATTGTTTCCTTTAATTCCTAGAGGAACATAGGGCTTCAGCCGTCCGTCTCCATTGAGTTCGGTTCTCTGCTAGGGTCTTCACCTGGCTCCATGTCTGCCCACACACTTTCATCTCCTCTTCACATGACCTCCTCCAAGTCAGCCTCACACTGACGACCAACTCGCCGCTTCCCTTTCGGGTTCCACTCGAGCAATGGCTTGTCTAGTGATGTCACTTGATGCATTGTTTCCTCAGAGTATGGCCAGCCAATCCATCCCCATTTCTTCCTGCCTATTTGTTTCACAATCGGTTCCTGCTGTATTGGTTCGCTCATTGCCAGAGATCTCTGTTGCTGATGTTTTCTGGCCATCTGATCTTGAGTATTGAGTGAAGACAACTGTTAATGAAAGTCTGTAGTTTGTTTGAGATGCTCTTTGTGACGCGCCAAGTCTCCGATCCGTATAGTAGCACTGACTTCACATTGGATTTGAAAATCCGGATCTTATTTTTGATGCTGAGAGTTGTTGACCTCCACACAGACTTGAGAGTAGTGAAAGCTTGTCTTGCTTTTCCGATTCTTGCTTGGATATCCTCGTCAGTTCCACCTGTAGTTGAAACGATGCTTTCCAGGTAGGTAGAAGAGGTTGTTTCTTTCAGGTTCCTTCCATTTATGCTGATCGTTGTCTGTTGTTGTGGCTGTTGCTGTAGGTGGTGTTGCCCAGGAATCTTCATTACCTCTGTTTTCTCTATGTTCACCTGAAGTCCTATCTTTGATGCTTCTTCTGCCAACTTGTTGCTTTTCGCTTGCATATCTTCCAGTTTGTGGGAAATCAGACCTATATAAAGCTATTAGCAGCAGTATTAAGTAGCGAAACGTCAGTAAAAGCAACAGTATCGTTTTGTTTTTCATTCATTCATTGAGAAATATAAAAAGAACCATTATTATACTGACTGTTCATATCATTTAAACATCCCAAAGACTTTTGCTTATTTTATTTGTCAAAGTCTGTTGGTAAAAATTAACCATCTGTGAACTGTCTGATAGCTTCAGTTAAATAGAAAGGAATAGACGTCTTTACTGTGGCTGGAAAGACTCACACATGCAGACACACACACACGCGCGCGCACTTTAGAATGAAGTTTTATGTAAGTATATGTATATATGTAATTTAATGCATGAATGGATGTGGTCATCAGTCATACTGTATGTGCGAACAGTCGACTTTCAAATCAGGTCACTTACCGAATAAACAAGCGGAGATATTGTCAAGTGTTTCTTTTGATAATGATGGAACATAGTTAAATAACTTTACACTTTCATACTTCTGATCATGATAACTGGAAAAAGTATTTAGAAGAAAAAACAAGAATTTGTTACCAAAGTAACAATAGTAATAATAATAGTAACTAGTGATATTATGTATCAGGAAAACGTCGAAATTACAGACATCACGAACATCAAACACCAAGTTAGAGAATCACTGGAAACCCGGCAGCATTGGACAGCTAATTCTCTCTACTTTGGAACTCTTCAAAACAGAACATCTACAAACCTGCCAGAGATCAAACCCCGCCCATGCAGATCGAGTGACCAGAACTAGATCAGAAATGAAACTGTATGTCATTGGTCTAAATTGTTGAATTCCAACCACTAGGTCACTCTCTGGTTTGAACCTCATTCTACCTACTGAGATTTGAGCAGTTATGGGGCTTCACTTGTATCCCCTCTCTCTCTCTCTCGAAATGTTCTCAAGTGGCCACGCGTTCATAGTCTGTGTCTGACATGTCATATTCACTTCCTTCAAACGGTGGCGGTATTAATAAAAAAAGCGAAAAGGTGATTGCGGATATCTAGCAGTTACAACAAGACTGGTGGACACGTAGGTCTACCTGGTGGGGAGCTGCAAAATCTTGAGTCTAAACTTATGGTGTACATGGGCTCCAGTATCCTGCAGGAACACATGGCGCATGAACCTGCTTTGATTACTATCAACCATGGGAAGGTAGCTCCTGACGCTGCTTTACTGCTTTATGAAAGGAAAATCACCCCTTAAGACAACCACTTGCTTCAGTTCTGGTGTCTGAAGAGTATTTCAGATTTTTCACAAGCTTATGATGGTGAAAAATACTGTGCTTCTAGACTAGGCTTCATCTGCTTGGTCAGCGTTCTTTCAACTATAGACAGCACCGACGAGGATTTCAAAGCTAGCCAGGATCTGCATAGCTAGACAGATCTTCATTACTCTGGAATCATTGTCAATTAATTTAAGTATTCTTGGAAGGTATTCCTGGATAAGTTGTAATTGGTGGTTGATTCAAAAGTCGCTTGAACTGATCAGTCAGGAGCTTCCTTTACGATCTGAAGAGCAAAATACTGACGAGTATCAAAATAAGGTGAAGCAGGTTTCCAGTACCTCTCAGTTTCCTTTCATTCTCTACCCATTATAAATATCCTGGTGTTATTTTACAGGGATACGTTTGATTTCAAATAAGGTTACAAATTGACATCAGCCAAAAAAACCACTGCATGCCAGGGAGTATTGGACAGGTATCTAATCTAGACCTACTTCGGGGAGCAGAGCCCGTTGAACATTCAACCACTATAACAGAATCCAAGAATTCAAACTTCTGTCAATTCGCAATATGTAGCGCCACCATCCAACTCGCCTAGCTTACTAGCTCGCTAGTTTTCTAGCCGGTTCCAAGCCCGGGAAAACAGGGAAGGTTAGAAACAATACCCAGGAAAATCAATCAAACTGTTCCAGAAACTTCGATGTTCAGGAGAAATATTAAAAAAATATAAAAAACAAATTTATTTTTTGCTGGAATCGGACTTGGGTTGGTGAAAGCCTTCAGGAAGTCAGTTAGCCAATGTTTCCTCTTTCAATGAAAGCAAAAATAAGAATGGCAACATGGAATGTCCATACAATGTATGAAGCTAAGGAGGCTGCCCAGAAAATACGGCATGGAAGTGCTATGAATGTCATCAGCAAACATCTATCCTGACATCTGACTCAGTGGACCCCAATGCTCACCACTTCTCATTAGAATTCTAGGACGTCCATCGCATAGCCAATCACCAGTGAGTATCAGTGTAAGTTTTTAGAGACTTGATCGATTTCAAACTACATCAACTTTTGTGGGTTTGTGTAGTATGCAACAACGAAAGTCATGCCTCCTACCTACTCAGCCTATTCAACAAAGCACATACAAATAGTGTATTTACCATGGAACATGAAAATGACGGGAAGTTCCATTTCCATGACATCACCATGCAACGCCTAGAAGATGGTAATCTCCAGAGGTCAATTTACCGAAAGCCTACATGGAATGGACAATACTTACATTTTAATAGTTTTTGTCCAAATAGCTATAAACGAGCACTAATCAAGACTCTGTACTATAGAGCACGGAGAATATGCTCTACAGAGAAACTGGAGGAAGAATTTATGATTCTCGAAAAGGTGCTGAAAAACAACGGTTATCCTCAAAGATTCATTAACAAATATGGAAGATGTGAAGGCTCAAATACCAAACAAATCACAGTTAAAAAAAAGCCTGTCTTCATTCAACTAGATTTTAAAGGTGAAAACATTGCAGAAATGGTCAACAGAAGAATGAGAACATCACTAGCCAGAGCCTATCCTGCAGCTAAGCTCGTTCCCGTCTATCGAATAACTTGCTCTTTGGTGCAATTAAAAATCGATAGATATCCTTCTCATGTGAACTCCAACTGTATATACAAATTTACATGTATCTGCGGGAGCAGTTACATTGGAAGGAGAGAAAGGAGGGTATATCCACGATTTTCTGAACATGTGCCAAAAAGCCTACGTCTCAAGGGAACAAACTCTTATAGCAGCGCTATTACTAGACATCTTCTTGACACGGGTCATGAGGTAGAAATCGAGAAATCCTTTAAAATTATCAATAGACAAAGGAGTTGCATTCTCCTCAAGTTTGCCGAAGCAATCTTTATCAAACGCTTGAAACCAGATTTATGTGTTCAGAAAGAAGCAGTTATTAATCTTTCTTTGCCCTGGTAACTGAATGTCTTTATTCTCTCATCTGATTACGTAATCTTTGTCTTTAACCTCACCCCCTTTTATATTCTGTAATTTTGCTTGTCTCTTGTTTCTATGATTTGAGTTGAACTCAGTACATTGTTTACCTAATTTATTAGTCACTCTGTATCTAACTCATATTTCGTCTTTATTACGTAACTCTTTTACCATTGTATGCATACATTTATTTTGTTTAAACTTGAACTGCCTGTGTAAAAACTATATAAGCGCAATTTTCTGAGCACTGTTCACTTACTGTGGAACTTTTTGTCAACTGACAACATGTAAAAAATTTGCAAGTATGTTAAAACTTTTCTGTACGCAAACCTCATAATTTATTTAGGCTGTAAGCATCTGATGAGAAGCCGACGAAATAAACAATGATGGTACCATATTATTCTGCACAAACCGCCACTGTTGTTCTTGCTTTATTCAAATTCATCAAGGGGAATAAATGCATGAAGTTTTGTGGGATCAGTTGATGCATTATAAATACTTGCATCTATGCATGATATAGGAGGTCATGCTTATGAAACTAGGTAGCACCTGAAAACTTGTTTTGAAATATATATCATATATATATATAAAATAATGAGGTTTCACATGTCTTGAGAACATGTTGCTATATATTTTTTTCCAATGAAACAATTCTCACATCACTCCAGGTCTTGTTTCCCTTAAACGATTTATTAGATAAAAGTACATCAAAAAAGTACTCTTAACTAATAAAAGATTGAGGTTTTGGTGTTTCAATATGAAATATACTCATCATGTATTATTATTAATATAACTCAATAGCTCATTAGTCTAGTGGATTACACTTTAGAGTTTGAAAAAAAATGGCTGATGGCCTTGAATCTTGGTGGGAACACCGCTACATGCTGGGATACTGGCTAGTATACCCATCCGATAACTCTAGAATAGGATGAAACGCGTACCATCTATCCTACTGCCTTCCACTACCAACTATGGCCAAGTTAAACTTTAAGCACCACTAACTACTGCCAATGGAGTGTGACTGCACCAATGACCTTGAAACGCTCACTGAGCGAGTTAGTGAAACGTGGCAGATAATGTTGTCATCATCAATAAAATATGCTCATCGAAGTGTTATGCTATTAAGTGTGATTTCTAGCAAGTTTCACCTTAGTTTTGGGAAAGATTAAGTTACGCTTTAAGCCAAGGACAAGTTAGAGTAAGGTTAACCTAATGAAGGCGACATTAGGGTTGGTTCGAGTTAGATTACAGTTAGTTTAGGGATATTTTCACGTTAGGGTTAGGTTCAGGAAAGATTAGGATTGTCGTTAGGGTTAGAAGACCCAAATAATTACATGCATAGAATGTGGTTAAATTACCCTGTTGATATAAGAATAGAACTTACGCACTGTGGTGGTAGGGTATAATTCCATTGTGGGGTAAAATTGATTTCGATAAAGTCTCACAGTAATATTTACTGATGACCACGTTTCCAGCACAATTTATTGCCCAGTAAATATAACTGTATAACAATGAGACTTTATCAAAATAAATTTTACCCACAATGGAACTACAGTCTGTTGATACTCCAGTCTAAAACTGAGAGCAATTTTTATCACATTTGGGAGGAAGATATCCTCTTTAACCCTTTTATACAGTTTTTATGTATTTTTTTCATAAATATATGTATTCCATACGCAAAAATGCCTCCTTCAGGTGATTGGTGCGTTCGAGGTCATTCGCTGATTGGCAGATAGTGGTGCTTAGAGTTTAACTTTGCCCTAACTAAATAACTCAAGTATAAATTAACATTGATGGTGCAGCGGTAGAGTGCTCTCCAACGACACATACAGTGAAGGGTTCGATCCCTGACAGAGGCACTCTTAAACCTCGCTTAGCCAATAGTAATCCTGGTAAAGAAGAGATTGAGCTGAGGCTAGCAGTTCTAGCCCGTAAAATTAAAACTACTGCTAATGAAACTTCTAAGCTCATGTCTGAAGCGCTACGTTTCACTCGGAACGCGAAGGAGTATTAATTAAAAATATATAATAAAACTCCCACCATTCAGCGCCTTCATGATAATCATCGTTACTATGTACTGAGGCTTTTAGTCAGAACACAGAATATTTTAAACCTATGTATGAGCTAGTTCCTCAAGAGTCTACCCAGTATTTAACCAATCTCATCCTAAATTAATAATTCTCACCAACTACAACATAGTTATGTTCGATCTAAAAAGAGCACACTGTTTCAGGGTACATCAGAGTAATATAAATAAATAAAAAGGTGTCGTATCTAAGGCTCAGATGAAATGACTGCTAAATACAGTGCTCAGTAATATTGCGTAGACTAAGTGATGCTCGAGAGGCACAAACACGAGAGAACCAGGCAGGTTTTAGACCAGGAAGAGGCTGTATTGATCATATCTTCACCCTTCGACAGATTCTAGAACATAAGCATCCTTACCGGCGTCCAACAATCATTATATTTCTTGACCTAAAGGCGGCACTCGATTCTGTCGACCGAGAGGTTCTCTGGCGATGCTTGGCTGTAAAGAGAATGCCGAGAAAATACATTGCACTGATTAAGGCACTCTACTCGTACTCATGCAGCCAGGTGAGGGCTTACGGCGAGTTTTCATCTGAAGTGGTGACGACTAGTGGTGTCCGTCATGGATGCCCATTATCCCCATTTCTATTCAATTTCATCATAGATGTACTAATGGACTTAACCCCAACTCACTTCAGAGACTCAGGGATTGACTTGCTACCAGGGAATAATCTCGTTGACTTAGAATATGCAGACGATATAGTCCTTCTAGGCGAGGACGCTGACAAAATGCAGAGTCTTCTGAACACCTTCAGCTGCAATCTACGAATGTTTAGCATGCGATTCGCTCCCGCCAAATGTCATATGATGTTACAGGACTGGACTACATTGACTCCTAGTTTAGAAATAAGGAGTGAACTGGTAAAGCACGTTGACCGCTTCACTTATTTGGGAAGTACCATCAGCCCCAATGGGTTGATCTCTGACGAAATCTCAGCACGGATACAGAGGACTAGTGGGGTGAGCAATACTGAGGTTAGGCGTCGAGTGCTAGGTAAGGAGGGGAAATCAATCGACGAGGCTGTGAAGTTACACCGATTGAGATGGTTAGGACATGTGTTATTTATGCATACCTAGCCATCGATCGCCTTCCTCCACTAGCAATGTTAGCTGACATAGGGTCAGGCTGGAAAAGAGCTAGTGGTGGTCAAATCAAAACATGGCTTCATCAGTCAATGAAATCCACAACAGTTAGTTCAAGCCAGTGACGTAGGGAGGTGTAGACTTCCTAGCTGAGGTCCTCGGGATGGTAAAAACCAATGACAACTGGAGACAATCGGTGATATGGCTCAAAATCGTTCTCAATGGCTGGCGCAGATGCATTCCCTCCTTGTCAGTTATGATTTCCAATGAATTAACAATTAACAATTTTGTTTAAATATTACCATGTAGTGCTTATTTTTGCTGTTGAGTAAATTAGATACAACATTGTACGAAGTGTTGAGGAATCCATGCGGTATCATAAGTACTCCTGCAACCGAACACACCTATCAATTCCCTACGAACTAACGCTTGAAAATTAATCTCGTGCCCACTACTGATTGATTGCGGGAGGATACCGCTTGAAGTCCTAGTGACAAGCGTCGTGACAAGCGGAACGCGTAGGGCTGGTGGTAGAGCCAAAAAGTCAAGAATTTATAGGCCACTGGATTAAACCATATTGGCTGAATAGTCAGCGATCTCACCTCGTAACCCAAAGTTTCTATGTTTAATCCCCCAGTGGGGTGATGCAGTGAGTACTACTGAAGAGACCCAGACTAGGACGAAACGCCTAACCAATTTCTCCCTGGTTATCACAAGGCTCTCTAACTGATATCAATCCGTAATCAAACTTAAAACCAATTAAGTTCTTACAACTGAACACTTGGGACACAAACAAAAAATCTTTGTAAAGGTACATTAACAGTTTTATCCCAACACTAACTTACCTAGTTTTCCACCTTCTCCACATATATTGAGGATCATATATAACTTCTATAAGATCAACAGTTAGCTCAAGTAATTCTGAAAATTCCACGTCAAGTTGTTGAGCATTACAAGCCTATCAAAATTTGACTTTGTAAAAATCATAACAGCTAAAATTACCAATTTCAGGAGATTCGGTAAAGTTTGATGTATAGTTTCTCCGTCAGTTATTAATTGTCGAATATCTTCATTTCTATTGAAGTAAATTAAAAATAAAGTTGAGCACACATATATTCAACTTACCTTCCAAATAGACATAATAATTTCAGCATACATAGTAGACTATCGAATGTTATCGATTGTCGTCCATCGAAGGTTTCATCAGTAATTTTACTGGTTTTACCAGAACTAAGTTCAAATGAATCACACTGTTTACAGAATGCATCCAAAAGGTATTCAACACAACCACTGGGTAGTTCATGTAATTTGAGGAAATTTTTGGAAAGTCTGTAAAGAAAAAATTACAAACAGAAGAAAACGAATAAAACGGAATTTTATATATATCCAAACCAAGTTCACTTTTAACAGTTTGAAAAAATTTGGTCATTGGGTATATGATATTCATTATAATAAAGGTTTTTGCATTTTCCAATGAATGAAAAACAAAACGATATTGTTGCTTTTACTGACGTTTCGCTATTTAATGCTAATAGCTTTATCAAAGCATTATTAAATCGGAATTTACAAAATCTCAGCATATATATAACTTTCAATATGTCCTTTTAACTTGACCTAAGTCTATTTTCTCACCCCCTAACTGTTTGTTATATATATGCTGAGATTTTGTAAATTCCGGTTTAATAATACTTTGATAAATCTATTAGCATTAAATAGCGAAACGTCAGTAAAAACAATATTGTTTTGTTTTTCATTCATTGGGAAATACGAAAACCTTTATTAAAACAGAATTTAATTTAAAAAGATGTTTGCAGCGAAGAAAATTTTCTTTTCGACCAAGTCACCATCAACTAGGCTCTACATTCGTGTATTTATAATAAATGGGTGGGAAAGTTCCAGAATAATTTCTGGTCAAGGGTCAAATTAATAAAATTACAATTAGGAATTAAAATGCCATAATAAACAGCGGCGGGGGGACGGATAAAGCTCAGACAATGTAGCATCATAATTACTGGAAACATTGACATATTGTGCAATTAGGGAGTAAAATTAAGACATCTGGGCATAGCCGAAGCACTAGCCCTCCAAAAAGCTCAAACCCACACTATGTATCCAAAAGAAATACGTCCAACCCTTGTCCCTGCCTGCCATGGCCATCATAAACAGGCAATTCTTTTAATAGTGACTATCCCATTGCCTTTCTTATCCAAACTTCCTGTTTATTCATGTTAATTTTAAGTTTTTCTCAATCCCTCCTATTTACACTACCATATTTTCATATCCGAATTTCCTGTCTATTTTGTCATTTCATTATTTCTACATATTTAATCCCTGATTGCATAAACAATGTTCCTCACATTAGTTATGATCCCACTAGATTTTTTTATCCAAACATCCTGTATATTTCTGTTATTTCTGCATTTCTAACCCCAAATTGCACAATTTGTCAATGTTCTCAGTAATTATGATGCTACTTTGTTTGAGTTTTATCCGTCCCCCCCCCTGTTTATTATGGCATTTTAATTCCTAATTGTAATTTTATTAATTTGACCCTTGACCGGAAATTATTTTGGAACTTTCCCACCCATTTATTATAAATACACGAATGTAGAGCCTAGTTGGTGGTGACTTGGTCGAAAAGAAAAGTTTCTTCGCTGCAACCGTCTTTTTAATAATTACTAAGATCCAATGTGTATATTCCGGAATTTAATTTAGTCGGGTTTAAAATCGTTTACATTTCAATCAATGTTCAATGTTTCAATAGATTGATATAATAATAATAATTTGCTTTATTCCAAAACAGTACATGTGATACAGAATGGAATTCTCAGCATTTTTACTACAGTAATGCATCCATTTAGTACATTATCAATAAATAGAATTCTACATAGATTAAGGAAATCACAGTTCATTATTACAACAATACATTGGCATATCGGTAGCAAAGGTAAAGCTGAAACAGTGTTTGAAGGTGTTAGAAAAGTGGGAGCTGTCATATTTACTGGCGTAAGCGAGAGAAAGAAACAAAGCAGCACATAACAGAAAAGAGAGAGAGAAATGGAAAAGAAAGAAAGAAAATGTTGCCCCTATAAATGATGTGGGTTGGAAAGACGAGATCCAGTTGTACTACTGACTATTTAATGAATTATAGGTGTCACGCCTAATGCTTTCTTTATCACACAGAACACGAGCTAAGTAGGGTATGGTTGAGTTTTTGTACTTGCTGGTGCGAGCATATAGTTTTATATTTAGGCTTCTGGTTTTACCTGATGAGATGCAAGGGGAGAGTTGTGAGTGAAGAGGGTGGTCTGAGTTAGATAAAATGGACTTGGCCCATTTCTCACAGGAGTCCATGTGCCTGCCGACCAGAATATTAACAAGCTGGCTAAGTGGCACGTTGCTTACCCTGCTGACAACCTTTAATATCTTGCGTAATATGCTATAGTCTTTCTTCAGTAGTCCGGGAAAAACTAAGGGGGAACAATAGAGAATAATAGGCAGAATTCGAGAATTAACGAATTGTAGGAGTAAGGGTTGGGTAATACCAGAATGTTTTAACTTCTTAATGTACAAGGTAAGACGGAATATTTTCTTAGAAATTGCTAGGATATGAGACAACCAGGAGAGATCAGCAGATAGAATGACGCCTAGGTATTTAATTTCCGATTTGGTTTCTTTTTCAGTGCCGTCTATGTTGCACACCTCGTGAAAGCCAACCAGTTTGTTTAGGTCGGATTTATGCCTGAAGGTGAAATTGACTGTTTGGCATTTGGAGGGGTTAAGGGTAAGACCATTTTCCTTGGACCACTGGCTGATTTCTGACAGAAAGCTATTAAGTTTAGAGCAGTCGCTTTGACATTTGACGGGCAAAGATACAGTCAGATCGTCAGCATATTTGACAAAATTAATGTCATTTGAAGATGGTAATTCATGTAGTCATTTACTAGTCATGAAAAGATTGAGTCACTGGTGAATACATTTCGAAAGAATCTGTGAACTTGGGTAAAAACATATTGATGATCCCTCCTATTAATACTGGATTACTTAATTAACCGGTTGATTTTCAATCAATGAATGAGGGGGCCCAGTTCTCCTCCTACCTATTTCAACCTGTGTACATACGTAGTACTATCAACTTGGTATAATGAAAGTCTGTTTTAGTTAAATGGTTATTCTCAAGTGTCGGTTTGAGGGAATTTGATCGATTTCAATTTAGGTCATGAAATGACATCAGGTTGAGAGCTGTTGTAAATCAGGAGGTATTGGCGGCCTGTTTGAAACCTAGGCTACCAAAATACTTCATCATTGTATTGCATGTAATTTATGTTGTTCAGTTTTGTTTTAATCTACTAAAATATGACCTTTAATGGTGTTTCAGATCAGCAACAGGGATCTCTGTCAATGAGCGAACCAACCAGGAACCGATTGTGAAACAAATGAGCAGGAAGAAATGGAGATGGATTGGCCATACTCTCAGGAAATAATGCACCAAGTGACATCACTAGACAAGCCATCGCTCGAGTGGAACCCGAAAGGGAAGCGGCGAGTTGGTCGTCAGTGCAAGGGTGACTTGGAGGAGGTCATGTGAAGAGGAGATGAAAACGCGTGGGCAGACATGGAGCCAGTTGAAGACTTTAGCAGAGAACCGAACGCAATGGAGACGCACGGCTAAAGCCCTATGTTCCTCTAGGAATTAAAGGAAACAATAATAATAATGGTGTTTTCTACTCTCACAACCTACTAATTCAGAAGTTCCTATTAAACTTGAGAAAAAAACTAACAAAATAATGGGTGGTAAGGTATCCCAGTAGATGGAATAACTGTTACTGAGATTTTTAGTACAAACTATCACACTGCCTGAGATATAAAAAACTAACTACACATACAGTCTTCAATTATTCGGCTGTTATTATTATTATTATGTCTTTGAGTATCAAAATGTACTCTTGCACCATTTTTAGGTTGACTTTCAACCAAAATATTGTGCATTTCTCGACGGAGGTAAAGAAGAAATATCAAAAGAGATCAGGTTTTCGCTTCAGGTCAGACAGCAATGTATTAGAATTTCATTGGTGGATGGTGACTAGCAGTGGAATCCAGGATGCGCATTTCGTCCTATTTGGGACTCGTCATCTGGATGTACCTGCATTCTCGAGTGAGTGATGATGTTCCCACCGAGGCTCGAACCCAGTGCCCATAGTTTCAAACGCCAACGCGTTATCCACTAGACCACTTGGGCCACGAGAGCCAGCCACCTCTTGTGCAACGGGTCATATTAATTATTTAATTGAATTTTAGATTTTCCCGTCGATTGACTAGACTGAAGTGCTCGGTCTCAGGTTGACATATCGGCTTCTTTTGCAGATGCTTCGACGATGTCTGGGCATTTAAATAGAATTTAATTGGTGGATGGTGACTAACAATGGAATCCAGGATGCGCATTTCGTCCCATTTGGGATTCTAATTAAATGCCCAGACATCGTGGAAGCATCTGCATAAGAAGCCGACATGTCAACCTGAGATCGAGCACTTCGGTCCAATCAATCGACGGGAAAATCTAAAATTCAATTAAAGCACTGTACTATGTGCTTTATTGTCAGTTACTATTTTACCAGTTTGGAAGTCTTCTGCACTCCGCCTCAGCATACACAACAAGATTCAGAAATTCAACATAAATGTGAAGTCAGTCAGTCAGTTCTATTATAAGGGACAGAACCATGCACTGCATGTCACGAAAAACATTTCCGACAAGAAACTGAAGACTTTTATTAACAGCTGCCCCCTTCGTCCGCTTCATATTGAAGATTAAATGGTCAGCCGGCTGTTCGGAAAGAATTGGCACGAAGAAACTCTGCAGAGGGACATACCAACCGAGAGCTGATTGCTCAACAAATATGTAGGAGAAAATGGAGATGGATAGGACATAAGTTGAGGAGACACTTCGGAATAAAGCTACCATTGTTATTATTATTGGACAGCTATTTCGTCTTAGGCTGGATCCCCGATAGGATCATATCTGCATGCTGTCAAAGAGTATAAAACTAGAAACAAACAGCTGTTCATTACTCCCTGGTTGTCAAAGATCCTCGAACTAATACCAGTTCATGATCTAAGTCGACAATAGAACTCTAATGAACTAATGTTGCCTGAAATAGTGTCAGCAACTGACTTTTAAGTTTTGTGTTGATTTTCCACTTACTGTCATACAAAACATAAATGGTGTAAATTTTTGAGATAATAAATAATTTGGTTGGACACTAATAACTAGTGTGATGTGTCTAGTCCTCTCTATGATGCAGACTGAATTCTATCAGTCAGGTTTGCAATGT